TATCGTCCAAAATAATATTGCAATATGTAACTGTATGGATTTTCCCCCCATTACTAGTGGTGGGTGACTTGACTTGATATGGTTGCGACTGAGTGAGGGAGTTTTTTTGCGTTAGATGTGTGGCTGTGTTTATATAAAGGACTCTTCGGACCGACTCCTTTTAGATTTTATGCACCATGCTTGTTATGTCGAAGGCCCTTTGAAAGTCCTTACTTCAGGCATTCCTTTCCTCTTTTTTGATTTTAATGAAAAACATGTGCAAATCTCAGACAGAAAGAGCAAGATAAAAGTCTGCTCCCCTTCAGATACTGCAGAAGCTCCAGTCTCTCGTAAAGTAGGCCAATGGCGTGGTGGGGAGTGTTTGTGTAATGGTGGGTGGTAGTCTTTGTAGGGTAAGATTATGGTATATTCGTACTGTAGGCCAGCGGAGGGTAGGTAGTCTGTGTAGGATTTAGATTCTATTGAGATAATTTCGTATACATTTTGTAAACTGTAGTCACTCAGGTTGCGCTGGGCAAAGTAGAGCTGTTTAGCAGACCCATTCTGAGCCTGTGAGGCCACATGAAATGAACCCTGCCCCCCTCCCATCTCCAGCTGAAACTCAGAAGGGGTTGTTAGTGACTAAGTCTAGTCCACATATGAACATTCCGTACAGGCTCTTATTATATTACCTTCCCATTGTTTCAGTCACCACCGCTGGCCTGGGTAGAGCTGATCCCCATTGAAGGAGCTGTGTGCTGGGATCTGTCTGCCAGGTGTGCTGGTGTGTTTGTGTGGAGTGGTGGTGGTGCTGGTGTAATCTCTCGTGGACAGATTCTCATGGACAGAGGGTTTTCATTGTTGATTATTTGGACGAATCAGGATTGGGTGAAGGCGGTGCTTAAACTGGTGCGTTGATTTTCAAGCCTGTGTTCGGATGATAAACGGTTTCCACTAGATTCCACAGCCACAAAGTCAAAAACTCATCAAAACAACTATTTGATTTTTGGCCATTATAAACACAGATGAAATTAGTGGAAGGGAGGGTTTTGGCAGAGAGTTTCCGTTTGCGAGGGAGGAGACTTCGCTGCCTTCCTTTGCACAAAGGTAATCACAATTGTTAACGGTATTCCCCCCCCCAGAAGTAAAACAGGAAATGACAAACTTTCACGATATAATCTGACATCTGGGTAACCGAGATTAGTGCTGGTGTGGTAGTGTGGCGTGGTGAGCTGGTTGTGTGTGTATAGTGGTCCAGCACTTCTCAATGGAGCTGGTTTAGTTGGTGTTATGTCTCCTTTGGCCCCATGTGTAGGTGTTTGCGTGGGTGGTAATGTTTGTTTACTGATTGAGTCTGATCAGTTGGGTGGTAGTGTTTTGGATTGAGTGGGGTTAATGGTGTGCGTGTGCACAGAGGGCAGTGGTGTCCTTTACCGCAGCATGTTAACCCGCTGTTGCACAGTCCCAGTTAAAGGGGCGTCTCGGCAGAAGTGACCTCTTTTCCTACTGCCTAGAGTGAATATTAGCCTTCCTCTGGCCACCATGCTCCATCTTCATGTCTCTTCTCCTGTCTGAAACACTTTATCCTCATTGGGTTCACAAGCTGGTTGGAGCATAACATCTGTCCTGTTTGATTATGTTATTAGAATGCACCACACACAGACACACACACTCCCATCTTGAGAAAGGTATTTTATGTTCCCTATTTGGAGAAAGTCTTTTTTAGTGTGTATTCTTCTTAGAGCTTCTCACTACTGCATGGACATCATAAAGTTCAGAACCTCAGATAACAGAACCTCAGATAACAGAACCTCAGGTAACAGAACCTCAGGTAACAGAACCTCAGATAACAGAACCTCAGATAACAGAACCTCAGATAACAGAACCTCAGATAACAGAACCTCAGATAACAGAACCTCAGATAACAGAACCTCAGGTGCAGGCTCCAGTTGCAAGAGGAGTGTAATTAGTTTTCATGCTTGAAAAGCCAGTGCACTGAATGTTTATTTTTCAGATGTTGCAAAGATGGTTCGCCGTCAAGCTGTGACATGAAAGTCATGATTTGATTTTGGAGCTGTAGGAATAGTGATTCTATTCTTTTTCTTATCAACAAGCACATTAAAAACAAAGGAAGGGAAACCAAGCCATGTTTCCTAGTTATTTACTTGGAGGAAAGATTGAATTCATAGTAGCAGCATGGAGCCATATATGTCTGTCTTTTCTGTCCGTCTGGCTTTGAAGCTGAATTTCTTTTTTTTCTTTAATTATTTCATCTCTCAACCCCTTCACACATGCACACAAGTGTACACACACATACGTACATTTGCAGTCTATTATTTAAACATTGCACCTCAGGACTCGACGGCTGAAATTGCATGTTAATTTTGAACAGCAATAACTTTCCAATCTCTGCGGCACGCTGCCTCTGTTCCCAAGGCAAACGATGGTCCGGCGTTTCTATAACGTTTGTCTTGCTTAAATGGGTCCTGGGGAGTGTGACTTAATTAAAAGCTTAAATGATATTCCCTCCTAGTGAGCACTAGGATTAGTTTGTCCTGTGGCTACTGAGCTACACTCCACCAGCTTTTCTCCACTGTGATTTGAAGTGGTTAACAGGGACTTTAGCACGTTTTGTGCAAGCTCCATTGAATTGTGACCTCCGTCTAACCATTTCAACTGTCAATAAGATGGAAAGAGGACATTGTGTGCCTTTTTTAAAGGGCTTTTTAGATTTAATTAAGTTTTTGATTGAGGCCATTGATGATGTGTGGCTTTATAAAACTGTCTTACATCCTCTCTGATTCACCTTTAAAATCAATCTCTTTCACTCCATCTGGCTATTTATCCAGTGGATTATTTGTTGAAGGTGTAGCATGAACCTCCAAGGACAGTGCTTCAGTGTGCCAAAACATCTCAATACCATTACATTTCAGACTCGCACGGAATTGTTAATGCTCGATACAACAGTCAACTGGTTAAATCTGGTCGAGACAACTTTTGTTGGATACACAGGTGTGTTTAACTCACTATACTGGCCTTACATTAAATGGAAATATTTAGTGTGTCTTCTACCAATTCCCCATTAGGGTATGCAGGCTGTATATCAATATATTGATGTACAACATCAGCAAATTTAAACACAAGTTTTGTTACAGACCTATTCACCATGAAGCCTGCTGAAAGGAAGTGTTGATTAGAGTACTTAGCTCTTTGAAATAGACTGGACCTTCTCTCCTAAAGTACAGATGGTCACATTAATCTGTGATGCGTTGCTTGGTCATGGAATATTCTAAACACGGTCTTGTTTAAACTTTAATTTACAATCCAAAATGGGTAAATATTTCCCTTGCATTACAACTGTCACCTCTATAGAATTTCGAGTAATCTCACACAGTTCTTAATGGTCTTGGACTGTTTGTTCAGTGTTTGTGCGAGGCCAGCTGTTTGAGCCCTCTGTCAATGGACCAATCAACTTTAACCTCTGTCCTTTACTCACCCCCTACCTGTAATGCCCCTGAAAACACTATGCACTTCAACACTGGAGGAGGATGTATTGGGTCAGTGTCAGTGATTTAAAACGTGTGTTGAGCCGAGGGGAAACTATACATAAAGGCAACTTATCACTTGACTGGCCACAGTGTTCCAAAGCACAACACTGGTGATGTAGAGGAGTACCATCTGCTGAGCTGTCAGATGCTCAGCCATATTGATCTGGCTGTAATTGATTATGATAGTCTGAAGATAAGGCTTCTGTTAAACTGTGGCTAGGCTTTTGCAGGGCCCTGTAATTGCATATGCACGCTGTCCCTGTGCTTATCTCCCTGCTCTCTCCCAGCACCATGCATCACCGTCAGCTGAAATACCTCGGCAGCACGCCAAGTTATGCCTCCAAGGACACTCCTCATCAACACCAGAGACTGACAGCCCCTGCAGCAGTTGTGCTACAACACTGTAAACTTTCTACCCACCGATCCACTCCGTAAACTACCCTGGTGCTGCTGCTCCTGCTGCTGGGGGCAACGGGATGTCCTGTCCTCCGCTTCAACTGAAATAAACCCCACGGGTTTGGCCACACGGCATGCATACAGGTTGTGTGTGTGCCTGTGTGTGTGTGTGCCTTCTTTACCGTAAGTGTGGTGTAGCTGCCAGTGGGCTCCCACCCTCATCGCCAAACCATTGACCACCACTAATCGCAACACATCGGAACACTTATGGTTTACCCTAACCATACCCACAACAGTTTCTAAATGCTTTGGCCAGAGTTCAGTTTTTGTTTCGTTGCTGCCGTTATTGTCATTAAAATGCCAACATTTATCACCCGAGTCTTATCTAAATCAGTTGTTCTTGTCAGCGCTATTAAATCCATTACTGTAAACAGTTTTCAGAACAATACAGGCAGGCAGTTTACTGTGCTGGAGAGTGATAAGCTCTGTCAGACAGTGCAGAGAGAGGAGTTTGGGATCTTGTCCAGAATGGGCTGGTATGTGGATAAATGAGTGTGCTGTAGAGGGCCATACAAGGTTTCATAAACACATAGTTTATCTGGCAGGCAGGCGGGCGGGCGGCTGCAGTAGTTTGGTGCTGCCTGGCCTCTCTCCAGGTGCTGCTGGAGTGAAGGAGAAGATCTGTCAAAGTTGTAAGAAGAACAGAATGCATATCCGCTCACTGTGTATGGCTTCCAAACCATTATTTTATTTATTGCTAGCGTTATCTCCGGTAATACAGTAGTGTTTTGACTGACATGCTCATCTAAATTAAAGTTTGCCTGTCTGGGCCATGGTGAATGGAGGGAGGTAGGTATTTATTTGTATAATATGGAATACGTTTAATCTGGTTAGATTTGGTTGTTTGTGTTAATCTGAGAGGCGTATAATCTGGAGTTTGGAGTGCTCTAATCCGGAACCAAAGACAGACCCACATTAACAACCCTCTTGAGCAGACTGGAAGGAGAGCGTAAGAAGGAAAGACGTGCGGATGGTGGAAGATTGGAGGATGGGAGAGAGAGATGGCTCCGGAAAGAGATGATGATGATGGAAAAGAGGAACCAACAAGGAGGAGGAGGAGGAGGAGGAGGAGGAGGAGGAGGAGGTGTATTATTCTGAATGGCAGAACAGACCCATCTGCTGTGGCTTGGCCCAGCCCGCCTGACCATTATTAAGGGAAACTGCCCGTTAGCGCCAGCTGCCAGCCCAGTGCAGCGTGGCCTGGCTCTCTCTCGCTGCCCCCTCCACCACCTCCCTCAGCCCCGGCCCTCAGAGCAGCAGCTGAGACAGGGTGCGGCTCCCAAGGCATTCTCTAAACCTGGAGGAGGTGTTTATATTCCAGCGCAGAATGTAAATAAGGTGGGAAATCATTTCTGGGAGATGTGTGTGTTTTTTTTTTACGTAAGTAAGTAAGTATGTATTTCAGTGTTATTTTAAGTTTATTTTAATAACATCTGATATCTTTTTTAAATTTTTGTTAGTATTTTTTTTGTTTTATTCATTTATATAATTTTTTATAAAAAAAATTATTTATTTATTTTTATATATTTTTTATATATATATTTTTTATCATCTTAAATCTTGGTGGTTTCTAGAAATAATGGCCATTGGCTGACCTCGGTACTCATCGAGTGATTCAATTGTGCTTCACTTGGGAAATTAATGTAAAAAATGGAGTGTGTGAATCACTTTAGACGTGTTGAGTCAAACACATTGTTCCAGATCCATACCCGTCTTTACTCATTCCACATCAGCAGCTCTATAGCCATTGGAGCAGCTCTAACCACCAGAGGTATTCCCTTTCAGAGCTCATAAAGCCTTTCACTTCACTTTGTTCCCATTATGCCCGCCTCTCCAATTTGTCTCCAGACATTTTTGTAACACCTAATTGTGCCTACAGTCTGTGAAGATGCCACACCTTGTGATAAGTGCATTCCCACAAGGTAAACTTGGCAGGGCTCGAGTAGAACAAACAAACAAGCAAACATGCAGTTATTTCGGAGCCTGTTGCTCTGCATCCCAATGAGGCTGATGGATTAGCGTTCCATTCCATTAATGGGCTGAGAGGAGGAGTGCCAGAAGTCCCATTCTGTTTTATCGGTGGCTCGCTGCTTCTCACATTGGTAATGGCGTCTGAGCCGGCTGTTTTCCACATTTTCCTTCCTTATCTAAACTTCTTTGGTGTGCAACTCAAGTAAATTGCCTGTTTCCCCCACACTGACTAGTTAAAGTTTACCGTGGGAACATGGACGACACATTAGATGGATGACAATAAGGCTCTTATGTTTGGTTCACAAATGCATACACAGGGCTAAAATAAGCCAGGGGGCTAGGCTTTTAGCCGTGGTGGAATGGGTTTATGTTTGTGAGAGAGTGTGTTTGTGTGTCTGAGTCCATCCGTTCGTAAGTTTGCGCGTCTTTCCAAGAGTGTATGTGTGTTCTTGATTTGTATGTGCGTTTGCTCTGCTTGGCAGTCAGGTCTCTCTCCGAGAGCGGAGTCCTCTCTGACCTCCTACTGAAGGGTCAGGGGTCGTCTTTGAGCTAATTGGGTTCACCTCGCTCTGGTCATGACATTCTGGGGTCGCACTGCTTTCAAATGTCAGCCTCCAGCCGTGTTCCATGCCAGCCAGGCCTGAGAGCAGTAGAGCATCAATGCCACAGCCCCTCTACCCATTCAACCATCTCTGCAGTAACACTTCAAATGCCAAGGACAGTCCACCCACACCCTTTGCCTAGTCCTGGTGGAGTGAAGAGCGGAAACATCTTTTGAGAACCATTCATGAATTCACCTTTGTATACAATGACCGTACATTTCTCACATCCCAACTAAAGTCAGCGGTGAGTGTTATAGAATTAGAAGGACATTGTCATTGCAGTTTTTAAGCTCTGCAGTGAAGAAGTTGTATTGTTAAGGCCGATCGTCCTTTCTCCCTTCAGTGAACTCACTTCTGATGTAGCGGTGGAGGGAGCTGGGGTCTTTCTGAATGGTGGATGATCTGGAAAGGGCAGTAACATTCCACTGCGTCAGTAGCTCTGTGATGTAGTCCTCTAGGACTGTGTGGCGTGATAAATGGTGTTTGAGGGTAATCACAGACCGGCCATAGCATACGGCAGCAGTCGGTCAGACACTACGCATGGCAGAAGCCTAAAACCCTTAATTGATTCCATGGTCATGTTTTGAGTTAATGTTTACTTGATGGCGTGCTGCTGTGCGCTTGGCTTCCAAAACATTCCACACTCTTCCAACTCTCGCCTAGAGCAGTGAGGTTTGGCACGAACCGTCAAGACTTCAACCACAACCCATTATCTGATTTTATCAGTGTCAAACTCTCAGGCTTAAACCATTTCTCAGACCTCTATTGAATTCTAAGGCCGCAGCGTTGGAGAATTCTTAACCTTAATTTCCAGGCTAATGAAGCACTGTAAAGCGGATGGGCGGTCTTAAGCAGCAATCACTTTGGCTGATCAATCCTGGCTGCTTTGTTTCACGCATCCCTTTTACTTGGTGTTGATGTGATTGAGAGCTGCCTTAATGGACCCTGCCGTATCTACATATCTCCCCCCTCCACCTCCCTCCAAAGTCTTTGATCGATGCCCACCCTCTCAGGCTGTTATCTAAGCTCACACACAATGGGGCCCTCAGCGCTCCAGGTCTTCTTCCCTTCTTTCTTTCACTTCCTCTCTCCCTATCTCTTCCCTCTCCATCTCTGGACGGGACAATGGGCTCTGTGGAGCCGCTCATGCTATTGTGATGATGTCAACATTTTATTCCATTTTCATCCAGCTCTCTCATGGGTTCGCGCTCTGTTCTTATTGACGCACATACACACACACACACACACACACACACACACTCTTCCCCTCTCCACATCCTTTTGTTGGTGTTTGTGGTGGTGGGTCGGGCTCTGGGAGGCATCTCATTGTAAATCGTGTAATCTGCTCTTTCTGGGTTAATGCATCTCTATTTTCCGCTGGCTGTGTTCTGAGAGGGGGGATATTTGTGTTGACCTGCTTGGAGCCAGCCTGTTTGCTGTGATTTAAATGGGAGCAGGAGAGTCTGAACCCCCCCCAGAGTGGAGGAATGCTGTTCTATTTCCCCTCTCCACTGCAGCGTCTCAACTGTACTGTACTGACACTGCCAGCCTGGACAAAACAGCACAGTCACTATGTGGCCTGAAATACCCCTGCCTAAATAAGGCCATACTGTAGCTGGGTCACACTAGGCCTATTTATTCAGAATAGTCCTTCCTAGCCTATGTCCCATAGTACAATATGTGACAGACATATTGTACTATTTATTTTTATTTTTACCAAGATTCAGTCTGAAGTCATTCTTTGGTTTTCTACATTTTACATTTTAGTCATTTAGCAGACGCTCTTATCCAGAGCGACTTACAGTTAATGAATACATATTTTTTTAGTAAATGTATTTATTTTTATTTTTACCAAGATTCAGTCTGAAGTCATTCTTTGGTTTTCTAAAGCAGTGCCCTCATTTGGTGTAGACATGTTATGATCCTACAGTACTGTGTTAATGCTGTAGACATGACACGTCTAACTGGCAGGCTTTAGTTAGCTACAGTGATTTATACACTTCCATTCTCTCTAATTAAATCATTAATTGGCCATTCAGAACCCATCAGACTGCCATTAGGTTGAGCTCTGCTCCTTCTCAAGGTCTGGGTGGGCGGTTCAGCACTCTCAACTACGCTCTCTCGCTGAACATTAAACCTTTTTCATTTTATATTGCTGAGGGCCTCTCGTTTAGTCTTTCTGGTCCGGTCTGACAGTGCTCGAACTTCACACTTCCTGGCTCTGTGCTCTGTCATTCTTAGCGGGGGAGGGAGGGATTGATGCCCAGCCACACTGCCAGACTACCGTCTGCCGTCACAGAGTGCTCTGTCACTAGGAAAGGTGCAGGGGGCATACGGCAGGTTGACTCATCAACACTGTGTGTGTGTGTACACATACACTGCTCAAAACAATTAAGGGAACACTTAAACAACACATCCTAGATCTGAATGTGTGTGTGTGTGTGTACACATTTCTTTACATAGTTGAATGTGCTGACAACAAAATCACACAAAAATTATCAATGGAAATCAAATTTATCAACCCATGGAGGTCTGGATTTGGAGTCACCCTCAAAATTAAAGTGGAAAACCACACTACAGGCTGATCCAACTTTGATGTAATGTCCTTAAAACAAGTCAAAATGAGGCTCAGTAGTGTGTGTGGCCTCCACGTGCCTGTATGACCTCCCTACAATGCCTGGGCATGCTCCTGATGAGGTGGCGGATGGTCTCCTGAGGGATCTCCTCCCAGACCTGGACTAAAGCATCCGCCAACTCCTGGACAGTCTGTGGTGCAACGTGGTGTTGGTGGATGGAGCGAGACATAATGTCCCAGATGTGCTCAATTGGATTCAGGTCTGGGGAACGGGCGGGCCAGTCCATAGCATCAATGCCTTCCTCTTGCAGGAACTGCTTACATTTACATTTGAGATTTTAGTCATTTAGCAGACGCTCTTATCCAGAGCGACTTACAGTTAGTGAATACATATATATCTTTTTTTATACTGGCCCCCCGTGGGAATCGAACCCACAACCCTGGCGTTGCAAACGCCATGCTCTATCAACTGAGCTACATCCCTGCCGGCCATTCCCTCCCCTACCCTGGACGACGCTGGGCCAATTGTGCGCCGCCCATGAGTCTCCCGGTCGCGGCCGGCTGCGACAGAGCCTGGATTCGAACCAGGATCTCTAGTGGCACAGTTAGCACTGCGATGCAGTGCCTTAGACCACTGCGCCTTAGACCACTGCTGACACACTCCAGCCACATGAGGTCTAGCATTGTCTTGCATTAGGAGGAACCCAGGGCCAACCGCACCAGCATATGGTCTCACAAGGGGTCTGAGGATCTCATCTCGGTACCTAATGGCAGTCAGGCTACCTCTGGCGAGCACATGGAGGGCTGTGCGGCCCCCCAAAGAAATGCCACCCCACACCATGACTGACCCACCGCCAAACCGGTCATGCTGGAGGATATTGCAGGCAGCAGAACGTTCTCCATGGCGTCTCCAGACTCTCACGCCTGTCACGTGCTCAGTGTGAACCTGCTTTCATCTGTGAAGAGCACAGGGCGCCAGTGGCGAATTTGCCAATGTTGGTGTTCTCTGGCAAATGCCAAACGTCCTGCACAGTGTTGGGCTGTAAGCACAACCCCCACCTGTGGACGTCGGGCCCTCATACCACCCTCATGGAGTCTGTTTCTGACCGTTTGAGTAGACACATGCACATTTGTGGCCTGCTGGAGGTCATTTTGCAGGGCTCTGGCAGTGCTCCTCCTGCTCCTCCTTGCACAAAGGCGGAGGTAGCGGTCCTGCTGCTGGGTTGTTGCCCTCCTACGGCCTCCTCCATGTCTCCTGATGTACTGTCCTGTCTCCTGGTAGCGCCTCCATGCTCTGGACACTACGCTGACAGACACAGCAAACCTTCTGTGCCATCCTGGATGAGCTGCACTACCTGAGCCACTTGTGTGGGTTGTAGACTCCGTCTCATGCTACCACTAGAGTGAAAGCACCGCCAGCATTCAAAAGTGACCAAAACATCAGCCAGGAAGCATAGGAACTGAGAAGTGGTCTGTGGTCACCACCTGCAGAACCACTTCTTTATTGGGGGTGTCTTGCTAATTGCCTATAATTTCCACCTGTTGTCTATTCCATTTGCACAACAGCATGTGAAATTTATTGTCAATCAGTGTTGCTTCCTAAGTGGACAGTTTGATTTCACAGAAATGTGATTGACTTGGAGTTACATTGTGTTGTTTAAGTGTTGCCCTTTATTTTTTTGAGCAGTGTATTTAGCCCAGGACTAGAGGTGTTACTGTGTGATATTAATAACCTCTGCACCCGCAATGACTGGACTGAGAGCAGAGGATTATGGGACAGACGTGGCCTCTGCCCTGTTTAACCAGGTCTCTGTGTGTTAGACACTTTCTCTTAAACACACGTACACTGTACAAACACTGTCCTAGACGTCTTACTCAGTGAGGTCACGGCCAGGGCAGCAGCTGTGATCCTGCCGGTGACCTTGTTTCAACCAGGGCCCCGTAGCGCCCCACTGCCCTCCGTCAGGTCGTTAGTGCAGCTCGTTCTCGATTAGGGTAGCTGTAATGCTGAGCTGTAATGCTGCGTTGTTAGGCCCTGCTGGAGTGCTTTCTCCTTGAGTTCTGTTCTGAACTAGTCCATGCACTTGTGGCAAGAAACTTCTCTACATTGCCGCACTTCCTTTTTTGTCTGCACTTTCTAGAGATGGTGTCAAGGCGGTTCAGTTAGTTTCCTACTGACACTGAGCTCTGAGAGCAGCTGAAGTGTGTGTTTGGTGGTACAGTAACTCAGACAGGGTGTGTTTACTGCAGTGCTGTCAACCCCCACCCCTGATGCTGGGTCAGACTCTCCAGGAACTCAGCTGTAACTCATGAAAATAGCTGTATAAACAGTGATAGAGGGATTACATGTGCTGTATTTACATGTAGCCTTCTATATATAAATACTGTTTGATGATGAATACTGATGATCAAATTCCTTGTGACTTAATGGAATCACAATGAGATTAATGGATTCTTATGTATATCCTCATGAATCCATAAGTCAGAATGAATTGGATGTTTCATCCTCCAAACATGTTTTTTGTTCCTTTTACACACGTTAAACTCATTCCACGGATGGCCAAGTGTCTGCTGGTTTTCACTCCTCCCTTGTACTTGATTGATGAATTAAGGTCACTAATTAGTAAAGAACTCCCCTTACCTGGTTGTCTTAATTGGAAGGAAAAAACAAAAACCCGAAGATACTAGGCCCTCCATGGAATGAATTTGACATCCTGCTTTAACAGGACATGTTGTCTGGCTTCTGTCTTCACACCCCCTCATGTATAATACGGGCTGATTTACTTTTGTAAAATTATGTCTAAATATGTAAAATATCTCTTCAACATCAAATTTGCAACTTTTCTGTTTACACTAGCCTGGGATGTGGTGTGGCCAAAGCCACATTCCTGCTTCATGTGAGTGCAGCTATTAGCATAGTATATAAACAAACAAAACCAAAATTGCAATTCAAACTATACAGGAACTTCTCATCTAAACCACACTTGATTCAATGCAATGATTCACAAATGTGTGGACATTTTAAAAGCCTTTAATTTTCTATGACTAACGGAGCAAAAATGCTGTCTGCTGGTATAAAGGTAATTAAGGTAATTCTTGCAGGTGCATGTGGTGTGGGAGAGCCTTTGTCTTTACACTGTACCACTCAGAGGGGGGGATGTCTCCAACACCCCCCCCCCGGAGCAGGGTTTCGCAGGGTTCCCATTAGGAGAATGTGGCGCCGGACATTTGAGAAATGTACCGGACCCATATGCTTTGTGTGCATAACCTGATTAGGGCGTCCACCCACGGTGCTCAGAATTACAGAAATTACATTTAGAATATGGTCATTCATATTAACAGAACATGCAAGTCGAGGATGGAAAGATGTGCTCTCCTTCTTACCGAATTCTGATGTGCACTTTGAACATGTTAGAATAACTTCCACATTTACTTTTCCTCAGCCAACAAGACGAGTAATGAACAGATTTTCCATGTCTGTATGCTGTACGGGTGTGATAAATAAAATACATAACGAATAAAATGTACACGCACCAATTTAATTCCACTAAATTATGCAAAGTAACCTATAGACCGATAAACATGACAAGTCAAATGTATTTCCATGGACTGGTATTTCCACCAATGAATAGGCTAAAAAGCATTATTTCGCAATTTGATTTTTTCTTCTTCTACCGGCGCCAATTTTATTTATCGGACAAAAGCCGTCTTTTACCGGCTAACGGAAACCCTGCCCCGGAGGTAGTGTGGGAGACACTACACAAGTATCTCTCCTGGACCTAGTTTGTATCGTCTAAATAGTGTAAAGAGGCCCTTAATCTATGATTTCCTACCCACTTCTCTGTAACAATGCAAATGGAATGCCTTATTTCCCTAACATGTAGTATTTGTATTTATTATGGATCCCCATTAGCCAAGGCAGCAGCTACTCTTCCTGGGGTCCAGCAACATTAAGGCAGTTATACATTCTAAAAACATTACAATACATTCATAACAGATTTCACAACATATTAAGTGTGTGCCCTCAGGCCTCTCCTCTACTACCACATAGCTATAACACAAAATCTATGTGTACGTGTGTATAGTACTTATGTTATCGTGTGTTTGTATGCATGTGTCTATGTTTGTGTTGCTTCACAGTCCCCGCTGTTCCATAAGGTGTATTTTTATCTGTTTTTTTTAAATCTAATTTTACTGCTGGCATGAGTTACTTGATGTGGAATAGAGTTCCATGTAGCCATGGCTCTATGTAGTACTGTGCGCCTCCCATAGTCTGTTCTGGACTTGGGGACTGTGAAGAGACCTCTGGTGGCATGTCTTGTGGGGTATGCATGGGTGTCCGAGCTGTGTGCCAGTAGTTCAACTTGTATTTGTGAGAGGTATTGACATGTTGAATGAACCGAGCTGTCTGTTTGAACTACTGGCACACAGCTAGGTTCATTCAACATGTCAATACCTCTCACAAATACAAGTAGTGATGAAGTCAATCTCTCCTCCACTTTGAGCCAGGAGAGATTGACATGCATATTATTAATGTTAGCTCTCTGTGTACGTCCAAGGGCCAGCCGTGCTGCCCTGTTCTGAGCCAATTGCAATTTTCCTAAGTCCCTCTTTGTGGCACCTGACCACACAACTGAACAGTAGTCCAGGTGCGACAAACTAGGGCCTGTAGGACCTACCTTGTTGATAGTGCTGTTAAGAATGCAGAGCAGCGCTTTATTATAGACAGACTTCTCCCCATCCTAGCTACTGTTGTATCAATATGTTTTGACCATGACAGTTTACAATCCAGGGTTACTCCAAGCAATTTAGTCTCCTCAACTTGCTCAATTTCCACATTATTCATTACAAGATTTAGTTGAGGTGTAGTAAATGATTTGTCCCAAATACAATGCTTTTAGTTTTTTGAAATATTTATGACTAACTTATTCCTTGCCACCCATTCTGAAACTAACTGCAGCTCTTTGTTAAGTGTTGCAGTCATATCAGTCGCTGTGGTAGCTGACGTGTATAGTGTTGAGTCATCCACATACATAGACACATGTGATGCTGATACACTGATGCTGCATCACCGACGTGTGTATGGCTGTGATTAATGACTGTGTTTGTGTCTGTCTGCAGGTATTTGGTGATATCTATCACTTCCGGCACCGTTCTGTGGAGAAGAGGTCTCTGTCGGATCACCGAGGGACGCACGTCCGTCTACAAAAAGAGCCTCAGGTAAGACACATTGGGAGGAGGGGTGAGTGTGAGGGTGGGTGTGTGTAGATGATGGTGGGTGGGTGAGTGTATCAAAGCGGATGAGGAGGTTGAGAGTGAGTGTGCAGCAAGAGAGGGTGGAGGGATGTGAGTGTAGGGGAGGATGGGTTATATCAATAACATGACTTCACCAGCCGCAACAGAGGGTGGGGGTTGGATTGGGCGTGTTGAAAGATGATGAATTAGTCTAGAGTCATACTGTAATGCACCTCCCATTAACAACACAGGCAGTGTGAGAGAGGTGATGGGGGGGGGGGGCAGTATGTGAAAGAGGTGGTTGAGAGCTAGGTTGGATGAGTTAACTTCTATTCCATAACATGACTAGAGGAGCCGCAGGTACTTCATCACCATCTGTGGAGCGGCCATTAGGCAGGCAGCGGGGGTAAGGGTCGACGCAGAGGGGACCACAGTGAGCTAACAACCACAGGGCAGAGTGCCAGAGACCTGAGCTCTCATTTATCACCCACTTTTAATGGATGTCTCTGACACCCTACAGCCTCTGCCTTGTCCGTTTCCTTTCCTTAGGGCTGGGAGGTGAGAGCATCCTAAACATGCTACTCACATACACACATGTATACTGTGCTAGGCTATACTGTGGTGTCTAATGACCCCATTCTCAAACCACCTCTGAATAGATTAGGTTTCCAGTTTGGTTTCTAATGCCTGTCTTGTCTGATGATTTTTCTTCCACTCCTATTGTGGGTGTTTGAGTGATGGGGCCCTGTTTAAAAGGTCTGGGGCTGTGTGTAGTCCACTCCTCTGTGGTCTCCTGGTCTCACGTTTCCCTCTGTAGCTCTTTGGGCTCTGGCTGTGCTTCCATGGCTGTGAAAGGTGAGCGTTTGAACTGCGGCACAATGAATGTCCTGCCATCTGCAGCAGCCCCTCAGAACCGCTCCACTGTTTGTCACTCAGCGCAGCTCAGGTCCAGATGAGAAGATCAGAGAGAGGGCTTGTAACACAAACCCACAGACTAATGTCCAGGAAAAGCTAACATGCACACGCACACACAAACGCAGATATGCACAAAGACACACACACACACAGTCACACAGTCACACACACCACTAGTTCTAACTAATGTTGGTGCTGCTGTGGGCTGGTTCTGTAATTGGGGCGGCTGGGTCAGCGAGAACCATTACCAGCCTTAGTCTCTGCTGACAGTTCACATGCTGTACAAAACGCTGCTTTAAAGGTTTGCAGGACTTGCTGATTCAGAGGTACTCTTCCCCTCCCATTTCCAAAGAACAGAGATGTGTGTATAATTGAGTATGCATTCTTATGGGGGGTGACTAGGTTTGAATGAGCAAGACCTGCGGTACTGACTAACTGGCATCCCCTGGGAACCCACAATTGAAAATCCCCTGAAACTATAGGGTGTCATGGGAAGTCTATTGTGTGTTAAGGTAAGGACTAACGGCTTCTGCAGTCTGCCAGTGGACACGTCCCCTGCCCAGTCCTGTTCCCGCTGACTGTAGAGAACCCATGTTTTGGTTTCCCAGCATTATGGGAGGTCATTCAGCCAGCGAACTGTGTGGCCAAGTCTCGCCGCTGTTTGTCTTGAGCAGGTGCACGGTGAGAAAAGCGTTGTGTGGCCTATCTCCACTTACCCTTAGCAGCACGGCACCAAAACAACACTGTTCCCGCCCCAACCCCACTCCTCCCCCCACCCCTCCGCTCACCACTTAACTGACGGGATTTCCTCTCTCGCCGCCACTCCATTTCCTGTTGTTGAATTCCTTTTCTCCCAGAGCACCTCAGAGAAAGGGGAGCCTCCCTGCACCTCCCTCCCTCCTCTCCTCAGGTCAGCCCTGTGGCCTACAGAAGTCACACTGGGGGAGATGGATCCCAAACAAAAGGAGCAATAAACCCTGCTCAAAGACTCTCACATTACTGTGGACTAAACGGCCAGGGACTCTGCCAAATCTCAGTCTGGCTGACTGGCTGCTCATTCACATCTAATGGTGATGCATCGCTCTAATATTGTCTAGCTGTTGTAAGACCATTGCTGTAGTGAAATTGTGTTACAGTTAGGCTTAAACGATATACCCATAGAAATGCCATCAATACATCAATCAGTATTACCACCTAGAGTTTTTCCTGGTCAGGCCATGTGGTCAGGGAAAACCCCTGGACCTAATCATTTTACAACCCATACAGCTTCCTTTGCTACAGCTATGTAACACTACAGCCATGGTAATGGTGCTCTAGCTGTGGTTGTTGCTTTGGTGTTGGCCTAAGGTTGTGTTATGTTTGGTTGTGTTGATGTTTGTATATGGAGGGGAATAGAAGAGAGCAGGAAGGAAGACACAGAGACCTGTCTGCTCAGTATCTGCTGGACAGCAGCGTTTAACCAAGCAGCCGGGGTCCTGTATGTGAATGGTCTTGAGCGAGGAGAAAAGCTGTCTCAGATAGCTGGCTTCCGGACCCATTTATAATGGAGATCTTATCTGTTAATCGCTAGCTGGTTCCCTCTGTTCTGTTCCACCTCACTCGGTCTGTTTAAGAATTCCTGGAGACTCCCTCTCTGGCTCGCGCCAGATTTTTCCCCTTTCAAACATTTGCTTAATTATCTCTGTTTGCGATAGGGGAACTTTGGCAAAGGCCTTTAAGCGTAATGAACATTGGAAACGTCTGTCTTTCCTGACTGAGGATCGGATGGTAATCTGTGGTAAACTAAGAACTCACAGAGACAAAGTTAACTTATCTTGCCTTATTGTGTTGATTTTAAATCCGTCCATTCAAAATGTTTATTCACTCCCTGTCTCATATGAAATACTTTAATTTTAATTTTCTCCGTGTCAGGACTAACACAAGCCTCATTAATGCTGTTTCTGGGGGTGATCCGTTAGGCTAATAGAAGAGAGCAGTCATATGGAAAGGATTGGTTGCTCCAAGTGAGGTTCAGCCTACCCATCCTCTATGCAGTCAGGCACTACTGATAACCCTGTGCATGTTAAGAGAGGGGATTTAGCTACTCTGGGACGCTCTGTCATGGCTGACCTGTTTTAATCAATAACCTCAGAGATACTGACGCTGTCTGAGCTTAGCAGACTGTTCATTAACAGTCCAAAACCTCAATTTCTCATCTCATCTCCCCTGGTTGAACTGGATGGAGGTTTTCCATCTGGAACATCAAGGTAACAAACTATCAACAGTGTTCTTTCTGGTTGTACTGTAGTTGGCAGAGTTCATGAAAGCAATGACAGGCTCCATTGGCCAAATGCAGACGGTAAACAGTGTTGCCCTGAGTTACCATAGAGACTGTTGTTTTCATGTAAAGTGAGGTTTCTCCCTAATGACTTACGTATGTTCTCTGTACACACACCACATAGTGAGCCCCGTACCAGCAGCTAATCTGCATGCCTGACTGAGTGTGCTTGGGCTGTGATTAAGGGGTCTTGTAGCGGGCCTTGTTAATGCCTTGTTTGCAGGAGCGCGAGCCCAGACTGTGGCACGGCACAATTACAGGGGTCCGTTCCCTCCCTCTTTTGGCCCTCTCACTCTCCGCATGGCTGACCTAGCCTCATTCTGTGGCTGCCAGTAAATCGCAGAGTAAGAGACTTAACAGTCAGGGAAAAACCATGTGGCTCCTGGCCATGCAATATTACTGTTTCCTTTATGAACATTGTTTTTGATGACCCCAGTCGCCTCTGTCTTCATTGTTCTGTGGGGAGTGTAAAGCTGATGACTGGATGAAGGGAAGAAAGAGGCAAGCAACACACTATCTACCCTGTGTTCCATGACTGCAGCCAGGATTAGAGACCAAAGGAAACTGTGTTGCTTCCTGACAGGAAGCCCCATGGACTCATGGGTAATGGAGTGAAGTCGGATGGTACATCTCAATAGTCTAACGTGGCTTGCTCTCATCTCCTTTCCATCGCATGCACTGACATTAAACTGGGACAGCAAATTCCTGGTAGGCATCCTGTCATTTTGCTTTCACCTACCTTAGCATCAGTGCAGAGATGAGGAGACATGGAGGGGAAGCCTCTTATATTGTGATGTCCCCATAGACTGACCTGGGAGATTGGTTCAGCCTCCCTAAACCTCTTCTCCTATCCATGCCTCACTATTTCATCTGGACAGGCAGGGGATTTTACCTGCTGTAGGACATAGACAAATCACCCATGTTACCTCTGTTTTCATATCGCTGCTGTCAGTACAGTAGCACCCCACTCACTGTCCCCCACTCTTCTTAGTGTGTTGACCTTGTGAAGGGGGCACCCATTGTGGAAGCATCTGCTCCAGTGTGATTCTGTACAACTGCCAACCAGCAAGGGGCTTTCAACACGGATTCATGTAAACACGTCCGATTCCCCCCCCCCCCCCCCATTAAAAAAAAAAAATCCTGTACACCAATTATTGGTTGGAGGGCAGCGCATAAAGGTGCGTGCTGTGTCGGTAGTAACCTTGGTGTTATTGACGCTCTTGTGGTTTGAGCTGTTGGCAGAGAGTTGCCTGTTGTGATTCCTGGTTGTCCTTCATGCCTGCCTCTCTATCCTTGCAGCAGTCGCTTGTCTCCCTGCTGCAGCTTCTCTTCCACACCCCTCTCTCCACATCCCCCTCTGCTTGTGTCCCTTTCACCCACTCCACTGTACAGGGAGACAGCAGCTCGTAGATGGGGTGCGACGCAGGGTTGTCGCTGTGTGCAATCTGCCTCTGTCAACACTTTCTGCAGCATGCCGGCCGGAACTCCCAGAGAAGAATAGCTCAAATCAAATGTTATTGGTCACTTACACAGTTTCTAGCTCCAACAGTGCAGTAATACCTGGCAATAAAAATAAGAAATAAAACACAATGCAAAATGCACACATAATCCAGAACAATCCCTCCCCTCCCCCATCCCAGCCTACTGTTATTACCAGGGCTTTGTGTGGGGAGGCAGAGCAAAGCAAGGAGGGAGACTGAGGACAAAGACTGGGTGTCGTAGTGTGTTCTTCTGTGTGTCTGTGTATATCCTCCTTTCTATGTTAATGTAGATTTTAGTTTGTGCCTCTGTCTGCGTTAATGTGATTTTGTGTGTTTCTGTGTTCTTCTGTCTGTGTGTGTGTGCGTGGCCCCCTATCTGCCCTCATCTAGCTGTTTTAATTATTCTCAGCCTAGGCCCTCGTTAGGCTTGGTCTCTAATGAGGAGCTCCTGAATGCCTATGTTAGAACCTCTGTTTATCTCTCTCTGCTCTCGTCCTGCTCTGCTTGATGAAGTTAGATTTCTCTTTCATTCTGGGGAGACGGTGACCCTCATGTTCCCTCCTGATCATCATTATTCCTTATACCCTGTACTGATTGTCTTCCTCTAGTATATTGAGTGCCGTATTAGCACGGCTACTTCAGTAATGTCCCTCCTCTGGTTGAAATCCGTGTTACTAATAGAGTAGTGGTGTTCCCATCCGCGTATTAGCATGGTGAGCGAGTCTACTTAAAGATGGAATCCGCAGTAGGGGAAACGGCGCCACTGTCTGCCCCACAGCTTCTGTTATTGTTTTTGTTTTGTTGACGAAGTGGATGTGAGGAGCGTCGCCCAACGTGGTCAAAAAAATTGCAGTACACATTCTGCTGCTTCTCGCCAGTACAATGATGTCTGAGGGGGAAAAAACAGTGTTCGTTGTTTGTTTCGCAAACGGACATGGAAATTTCACCATTAAGGATTCCAGCTTTAATGGGTGCCCACGCTGAATGTAATCACGTCTCTGTTTGATGCCATGACTGATGCCTTTCTCTCTGTGTGTGTGTGTGTCTTCCTCAGGTGACGTGGGCAGAACAGCAGGTGGTGAAGAGTAGGAAGAAGAGGGACATCTACACGGAGCCCTCGGACCCCAAGTTTACCCAGCAGTGGTACCTGGTTAGTAGACCAAGTCTGGCTGACATTTAACAATCTTTATCACTTTATTATCTCTCAATAGGACAAATATGAGGAAGAATGTGTCTCAAATACATAAGGAGAGAAATCAATACCCACTCTCAGCGCTTCATTGCTGTCATAAACAAGCCACAATGGCTTCCTCAGTGTATGGACTGAAATTTCAAAAACAACCTCTCAGACAACCTCAGACGACTGCCCATTGCTGAAGCCACTGTGTAGTCAGGAGACAGACAGTTCAAACCTTTTCTCAGTTGATCAGTAATCCCTCCCTGTGCTCGGTTGTGTGCCCTGTTCTGTCTGGATGCACAGGGCTTTATAGAGCCAGTCTCTTTATTAAAATGGAAATGACATAAGAGCCCATACAGTGTCACAGCAGGGCCCAGCGCTCTGTTTGATCTGTCTGCCCATTCTCAATAACTCAGAGTGGATAGTTCCCTGTTGGCTGAGTAAAACATTTTAGTTTACTCTATTCAATAGACTGTATTAATATATGGAGGCCCTTTGTCTGAAGGAGTGGATGCAATAAAGTGTCTTGGTTAATGTAGAATGGACTGCTTAATGACCATGGTCTTTTAGGAGTCCATTATCAGAACGGCATACACATTTGGGTTTCCAGTCTTAAATTGAATTCATCTATTTATTGTATTCCCCAGACAATGGCACAGTCCCCAAACGAGGCAGTGAATACAAATAAAGGACTGAAATTAAACCAGTCTGTTATTGCCTGAATGTATCATCTTAAATGCAAAATGACACACTTTGACTTTGAGAAGGTTACACAGTCTGATCCAGTGGTCCATGAAAGAAACGGTGAGATAAACAAGTTGTGATTTCTCTTCACTTTGCTCCACCTTTAATTAGTCTCAAATAATGTTCCAGGCAATATAAAATAGTTGATTGAAATTCTCAACAAACAAACATTCCTCGCTTACTCTCCAACACGCTCACACTGGAGCTGAAGCAAATCCAATTTCCCCCATGTCCCCGAGCTGTTGTTGGGGGGAGGTGGGGTGGTGTGGATACTGGCGGCTGACTTCACCAGTGTGACTAGCTACATTTAATTCCCCTCCGGAGTTCACAGCTCTGTCGCACACAGCTTGCTAGCTAACTCTCCAGGCACACTGATTTGACTTAAGTAGTTTACTATCACGCTACAGAGGGAAGCGGGGAACCTGGGGCCCTGCGATGGAGAAGTATAGCTGGTGCTGTTTGCTGTTAGTTGGTTTAGTAAGGGTACTGTGTAGTGAGGTACTAGGAGTAGAGAGTATGCAATGAGATTGTGGTGAGGGTGTAAGGAGTGTAAAAAGGGTGAAGTATTTGGGTTTAGTGGGAGGCTGTAGCAAAAGTGTAATAATATTGTAGTGTTTATAAGGGTATAGTGTGCATGTAACAAGGGCGATGTCAGGCAAAGCAGTGTTCTAGAAGGGGTGCTGCTGTATAGAGTGTAGTTTGAGCCTAGTCTGAGTCTGAGCCCTGTTCCCCAGGTGGATCTCGGCGGTAGATAGTATCTGTGTATTACCGTCAGTCATTAAGACGAGTCTCTGACTGGTCAGTTTACACTGTGTCTCTATGATAAGGACATGGATAAACTCTGCTGCTACTTCCTCTGCTTATTCATATGTGTAACAGCAGCTCATATCACTGGTCTGTCCCCTGTCCCTCATGGATCAAATGGAAAAAGCTCAAAGCACGGTGTGAGATTTCAAAGGCAGTAAAGTTTGTTAATGTGCCAATGTAATGCAGTAAGAATGGTCAATTTTAAAGAGGTATAGGAAAAATACAGAAATACTAAATGTCCAAGACCATTACAAGAAACTGGAGAATTTTGAGGGTAATTCCCACTTTTGAGTCAGATTTGAGCAGGATTTTCTGAGTGGGATAATAATAATAATAATAATAATAATAATATGCCATTTAGCAGACGCTTTTATCCAAAGCGACTTACAGTCATGTGTGCATACATTTTTACGTATGGGTGGTCCCGGGGATCGAACCCACTACCCTGGCGTTACACAGGGTAAAGCTTTGGCCATGGTTATCTGACACCGAAGGCCTTGGTATCTGACACTGAAGGGTTTGGATGAGAGGAAAATAGTAGGAAGACATTTTCAGACAAATTACATTCAATTGAGGCAGCATTTTAGAGAAACGGCTGTGTGAGAATTGAAAGGCATCAAACATGGTATTTGACCAAAGGTCAAGTTTGATGTGGAGAGAATACCAAAAGGCCTGTGTAGAAGTCTCTCTGTACCATTACCCTGCTAGCTGGTTGTCCACTAACAGAGACACTCAGGGGGTGGCTCTGATGAGAGATGTATGCAGGGTCTGGTCTGGTCTGTCTGGTCTGGGACTGATGCTCCATGCTGAGTGACGAGTCTCTTTGTCTGCCTAGCACCACAGGATATGGTAAGTCTGTCTGGTGCCACAGGATGCCGTCTGCCTCCCATGGGGATGTTGTCATTTTCTGTTAGGATTGATGTCTAATGCAGTCTGACACATTTCTCCTGGGACACATCAGCCGAACATTCATCTATATATTTCTGTTTGGAGACGATCACGGGATATTTTTTTTATTTCATAGTCTAAAATAATTTGATAATGCAAAGATAAGTTCATTAATTGCTAGGTTTTTATTATCTCACATGTCTTGTAATGGATCTTTAGACTCCATTGACTGGTCTTGGTGTTTTCCCCTCCACAGTACAATGCTAATCATCGTGACCTGAATGCTAAAGGTGCGTGGGAGCTGGGCTACACTGGGAAGGGAGTGGTGGTGTCCATCCTGGATGATGGTATAGAGAAGAACCACCCAGACCTTATATCAAACTATGTGAGTATCACATTACCCCTGGCTTCAAGGCTGGGGTTGCTGCATCTAAATAGTTTAAGATGGCCTCCTTTCCAAGATCCATGTTGATGAGGAGAGGAGGCCATTTTGGACTATTGGTATTCACCCCTAGACTTTTTACTCGTACTCCTCTTATCATAGATGAGTGATTCTGATAATCTCTGTCTGCCTGCCTGTAGGACCCAGACGCCAGCTATGATGTGAACGATGGCGATCCAGACCCTCAGCCACGATACACACAACTCAACGACAACCGGTAAGACCCTGATAAGAAAGACACTGTATCAGTGACGGCTGAATTTGATCTCATCCGTGCCTAACTTGAGTTGTAGTGGTCTAAGGCACTCTCTTTCTCTATCTAGCTGTGCCACTAGAGATCCTGGTTAGAGTCCAGGCTCTGTCGCAGCCGGCCGCGACCGGGAGACCCATGGGCGGCGCACAATTGGTCCAGCGTCGTCCAGGGTAGGGGAGGGTTTGGCAGGCAGGGATGTGGGTTCGTTTCCCACGAGGGGCCAGTATGAATAAATAAATAAATTATAAACGTATGCATTCCCTAAACTGTAAGTCGCTCTGGATAAGAGCGTCTGCTAAATGACTAAAATGTAAATGTAATGGAGTGAGTTATGGACACCGTCACTCTGCCTTGGGTCCAGGTCTGTCAGCTGAGCCAGTCAGGTATTGGGCTGCCCACTGCTGTTAGATCATAGCTTCTCTGACTGAAAAGAGAAAGGGAAATGCACAGATTGAAGTAGTAGACTCTTAGAGGGCCGGAGAACATCTCAATGTGTTTTGGGTCTCCCCACAATCAAGAGCAAGCATGTGATTTAGTCTTAAATCACCCAGCTGCTACCAGGGCATTTCTGTGGCCTAGTTAAGTGGAGTAAATCTCCTGGGATTAAGTGAATTTGTGAAGAAAGCAGCTTTACTGCAGGGGCCTGAGCAGATAGCATTAAGACTTGTTTACTACCGCCCCCGATGTTTTCCCTGCTGCCCTGAATTGATCGAATTAATTTCATCAGCGTTAACGAAATGGGACAAATCTCCTGGCTCTGGAAAGGCCTGCTCCTCTCATTCCGCTCCCCTGCATGCTTACCCTTTCTGACTTTAATTTGGGATTTTCCATAATCTGCTGTTTTCGGGCTGCTAGCCAAATACCCTTTTTTTTATCTTGAGGCTAACCATGATTGGTGATGACAGGCAGAGAGGGTTATAGTTAAGGTCTCCAACTGAGACTGCATGGGTCTGGAGCAGGCACTGTGCACATGGAGGCCAGACTGGTGTAAGGAGAGATGGAGATGGCCTCAAGTAAAACAACAGTGCAAACATTACTTCCTACACTACTGTGTATAGCCATAAGTCTTGAGCCTCCTGCTGTCAAAGAGAGAAAGTGAAACGGCACAGTAAGAGCTAACGCCAATGGAGCTCTGCCACTGACCACGCAAACACACACACACACACACACACACACACACACACACACACACACAGAGCATCCGATATTATGATTCCCCCAGCATACACACAGCCAACAGACAGTTGATTCCCCTATCCCACACACACACAGTGCAGTAAATGCCTTTGGACTGAGAATCCTCCTGGCTTGTCCTCTCTTCCCTGCCTAGCTCACCCAAGCGCTTATCTCCAGCCGCCCAGCTCTGCCTTGCTTCCCCGTGGCAGGACTGAGGTGTGTGTGTGTGGTCATTCGTGTCTCTGTGTGTGGTGTGTGTGTGCGTGCACAATGTGTGTGTGTAACTGCATGGGGTTGGTGTAGGCGCGTGTGTAAACACCCTGTGGGCAGGCTGGAGCTCTGTAAGGCTGTGTAAGGGCCTGTTCCCTGCAGAAAGCCCAGCTCTGTTCACCTCCATAAAGCTCCCTTTCTTCCCCTGTGTGAGGAGCGCTCCTCTGCAGCAATGTGGCCATTCAGCCCCGTGTTTGTCCAAGTCAACATGTGATCTGGCTCTGTGGCTCTGCAGCCTTACTGTCTTAGACCAGGATGCTCAGTCTCTCTAGGGGCCTCTGCTGCGAGCTAAAATTGGAATTGAGGGGGTTTTTCTTTTTATGTATTGAATGTTTCCCAAAATACCCATCCTCAGCTGGGAGTGGCAGGCTTTACAGCTAGATCTAGCACAGGATAATCTCCACAAGATTTGAACTGAGGTTCTCTTTTTTATTGATTTTGCCAACGGAGGCTTTTCTGTTATTCGAAGCATTTGGTAAAGCAGTGGGAAGTAGACTTGAGGTATTTTTTTTAGATCCTGAAAGAAGCTGATTTTATCACGCAGTGCTGTAACTGCTGTACTATGGCTGATATCATGCTATTAATATATTCATTAAAAAGAGTCAGGGAGTTGGCTAATTTGAATTTGCCACTTTGAATAGTGCATTACATTAAGTTGCCTTGCTGCAAGATACCATCAAGGACAAGAAAGTTAGATGAACTGTACTGTAGTTGTACACACACAGGAATGTAGCTGTATATTGGGTGAAATTGGGGATATTGCTGGTATAGCTTCAATCAATAGCCGTAAGTGTTTGGGCTTCATCATCTGACCACCTTTTCTCAGGCCTCCAGGGTACCAGCGCTCGGTGTCTGGTAGAGTGCAATAGAGGAGGCGTGTGTTTGTGTGTAATCTTTGCTTTCAGTTTCCACTATATTACTGTCACATGTCAGGTTGTGTGCACACAGCTTGAAATGTCTAGTGCATACACATGTTTGTCTGTGCCACGGCTGTAGGGGCCAGGGAAAATAGTTCAATTTATGTTATATAAGTTTGCAGTCTGACAAATGCTGCTATTAGTTAGAGGAGGATAATGCTTGTTCTTCATTACAGCCCATAATTTAAATCACTCTTCCTAATGTGCCTGGTCGGCAGTGTTGGGAGGAAGGCTCTATTTATCAGGAACACTCCACAGCACAACCCATCTCAGATGAGTTACACAAGATGTTTGCTTTGTGTTCCCCCTCTGCCTCTGTTCATAAACACTGGAAGACCTTTTGTCCTGTAGGTCAACTCATTAGTCAGCTGATTAAATAGGAGCGGGGCCGGAGCAGTTTTCCAGATTTACCTCGGGGCGGCGGCCCGGCAGGCAGGCAGCAGTGAGCAGAGAGACTAATGATCAGCTGGGGCCACTGGCCCAGCCTCAGAGAGCACAAATGATTTTCTTCTCAGTAATTAATTCAGGTTAGGAAAAACAGAGCGAGTGAAAGGAGCCAAGCTATCAATAGCCCAATATAGCATCTGAAAGAGAAGAAAGAGCTCTCACACAAAGACAAACTATAGCCCAGGCTCAAATGGCACCCTATTCCCTATGTAGTGCACTGCTTTTGGCATCAGTCAAAAGTAGTGCGCTATGGGGAATAGGGTGTCATTTTAGATTTGAACCAGGACTTCTGTGGACTGGACTGTATTTTACAGCTTCCAATTGCACCTGCCTTAGGAAGTTTCACCATGTTACGCAACAATAATAGGTCTAACTTTATGTATGGCCTGAAAGGACGCAATGGCTGTTGGCACTGTGTTTGCTCTGTTGGAACCGTTCTTTTATGGAGCCTCTAAAGTTCCACCTGTAGTTTTTCCTACATAAAAATATTTGTCTTGTTAATTTGTTTATTCCATTATGTCTCTTTTCTTATAACAGTTGGCTCCGTTTGAAATATTGTGTCTTTATGGAAGTTCCACCTGTGGTTTTCCCCTCATATAAACATGTATTATGCTAATGTGAAGACCTTTTAGGAGGCAGCTGGTTGCCATGGGGATGTGAGCACCAAATTGGCTGTATCTTCCCGAAAGTTCGTCATACTGTAGCATTATAGTTTCAGCACACCAGTTCCACACCAGTATGGGAGCCTTGTTCTATCGAAACTGATAACTATTAAATATGAGTTCCAGCTAAGGAGAAAGCCAAATCGGCATTCTCACAGCACAATAATAATGTTGTTTTAGCTTACCATGGAAATCAGCTTTCCTGTTTTATTTTAATATGCCCTTAGGTTAAGTTAGTCAAAACTTCTGGGAAGTTTGTCTCGTTCCTCTCCTAGTTTATCATTCCAACACCGTCTACAATATCCTATCCTCAGTTTACCTTTATGTATTACTTTCTGGCCAGCCCAGTTGAAAACTGGCTTTGTCAGTGGTGTTGACTAGCGGTGGAGATGGCCGTGTCTCTGCTCCAGTAGGTCTGGTCAGGCTGACTTGCAGCTCCTCAGGGACCAGCCTCATTTCCTGCTCTACTGCAGCCCAGACAAAGGAAGGATGGAGTTGCCCCTTCACACTGATCTTAGGTTAGTTTTTGAGTTTTCCCCCTACGGGTGAGGTTTTGGGCATGGTAAGCTGATCCTAGATCCGTGCCTAATGGTAAATTCTGCCAGGAGGAACGGCCAGGTAGCGGTCTGACGGAGATGGATTATTTGACCTAATGTAGTTTTCAATTAAAGCAAGGACAAAGACAATTGACCCAATGTCATTACATAAAAGTAGAATTAGCCCTTGGACTAATTCAATGTCAGTTTTGAGTTCTAGCCTAGGATTGGGGGAGCGGATCCAAGATTTGTGCCCGTTTTCCACCTACAGTAGAGCAATTACTCAGTTAGTCTAATGTTTCAAAGTGACTTTGGTGAGGTATTACCCTATGGGTTTACCGTAGTGCCTGGCACTGCCTGCCCGCTTTCAGGTGAGTCAGTGTTTAAGACTCTTCGAGTAGGTGTTTCCTCCACACAGTGATGTGACGCAAGTAGGGCTTGTCTGTTCTCGAAATGGATGCTAATCTAATGGTTAGCCTTGGGGTAGCTGTGTGTAAGTCTGACTGAGTCTTCTCTCCAGACATGTGTGTCTGTAATCAGATAATGGCTGTTCTGTTCAACTCATTGACATGGCTTTTTGTTGCTGTTATCCTCCTAGATAAATATCACTATTGTGTAGAGACTGCAGAGCATTGTTACACAATTAGCCAAAGATTCAGAGGATATTATTAAGGCTGTGGCTGCGAATACAGAGTTTTCGCTCCCGCCCCCGCCCCGCCCCTCTTGAAAACCTACAGATCTGGATCATGTTCTGCACATGTGCATAAAATAAATTCTATGTTGCTGCTGCTCACACGCCACCTCCCTTCACATTCCTCTCTTTACTCACCCTCTTCTGAACCATGATGATAGCCTATGTCTCTGCCTCATAGTTCTGAACAGCTGAAATAAAACCCCTGCGGTGATTTGAACGAACATTCAAGGCCATTATGAAGGCTACAAACTTCTATGTCTGTTGTAACATATATTACAGTTGCACAAGCAGGACACAGTCCCTACACATTGCATTGGAGCAAAAACAATTAGCATTTTGTGTGATGATGTAGGCTAATCTTTGTAGTTGCTGCCATATCGTAGCCATTAGCCAGAATTTCTAAAAAAAGAACACTACTACTTTGACTGCCTGTCTGCCTCCTGCTTATCCGATGTTTGCTATGATGACGAAACAAGAACAGTAAGAACATTAAAATCGCCAATTAGACTGCGTGTTTGTGTCTTGCTTGTGTGTGATATGCTGCCTAAATGGCTGCATGTAACTCCCTACTTGAGTTTTGCATTGGGGCAAAAAGCAATCTGCAAGTTTGTACGAACATGTTGATCATTTATTTTGTGTACAATGCAAATAGCTGCATGTAGTCTAACTCCCCTACTGAAAAAAGAACATGAAATTGCACTTATGCTTAATAACCTACTGAGGCATGGAATGCAATAGTTGGAACAAGTTTATAGGCTACACCAGACAAAGGCGTTCATCGCTGATCAAGGAGATTTAAGTGGCAGTAGAGCTCTGAGCAGCAGCTACGAAGGCAGCGGAGTGGGCAGCAGCTCCGTTTGTAAAAAAAAATCCAGCACATGCGCAAAAATCTTTAGCCACAGCAAATCGGGTTTCCAGAAAATCCGGAACCGCAGCCACACATTTTTAACCTCAAATATGAGACCATCTCGTGTGTGTGTGTGTGTACGCGTGCACGTGTGTGTGTGTGTGTGAGACTCCGACAGAGATTATAAACATTGTTATTCAGCATGCCTGTAACAGATGGTCCAGGGATTGGATCAGAGCTGATCTCATTACGAACAGTAACCATTGAATAAAACTGAAGGGATAACCATAATCTTTGTGTTGAACGTGAGTGTCAGTGTATTCTTTCATGAAATATAAGATGGAGGCCGACCTACTCACATGAATCAGTGTCTGAGCCCAGGCAGGTATATTTAGTTCATCTACATTATATAGCATTGATGGTTGTTTTATGGTAGGCGTTTAACTGCACACTTTACAGCAGTAATATAAAGTAGAGTTTAACTTTCTGTCCTCTGGTCTGTGACTGATGTTAAGTGAGTCTGCCAGTGTGTCAGATCAGTCCAGGCTGTGTGTCAGATCAGTCCATGCTGTGTTTCAGATCAGTCCAGGCTGTGTGTCAGATCAGTCCAGGCTGTGTGTCAGATCAGTCCATGCTGTGTGTCAGATCAGTCCAGGCTGTGTGTCAGATCAGTCCAGGCTGTGTGTCAGATCAGTCCAGGCTGTGTGTCAGATCAGTCCAGGCTGTGTGTCAGTGAGACGTGTCAGGGGGATATTGAGGCTCTGCGATGTTCATTTATCTCACTGTGACTTGGTGATGAAAGATGGCGAGATGCCCTCCTCCTCCCCTGTGTGAGTGAGAGACGTCATTTTGTTCTGCCAGAGTGGAGCGCAGTGTGTTTTGATAGGCCAATTCATCTGAGCCCCCTCGTATAGCCTACACCAGAGCTCTGCTCAGTAACAACCTCTGGAATCACACAATAAGGTTGGGTTCAATCCCATGTCAATGCCAGGCTGAGGCAATGCAGGAAATCGATTAATTGAAATTCAATTTGGCGGCATGTAGCCTAGTGGTTATGAGCATTGGGCCAGTAACTGAAAGGTCGCTGGTTCGAATCCCTGAGGCGACTAGGTGAAAACTCTGTCAATGTGCCCTTGAGCAAGGCACTTAACCCTATTTGCTCCTGTAAGTCGCTCTGGATAAGAGCGTCTACTAAATGACTAAAATGTAAAATGTAAACCGAACATTGTCATAGAAAATCTTGAGAATGTTCTGTTTGTTTGTGTGCTTCCATTGGATCAGGAAATGAGTTGGAAGGGACCTTGACTCTGGCCAGCTGGTTGGACCCCTAGTGGTTATTAGGCTGGAAGCCTGGAACATAGTATAACAGCGTTCCACTTCCCTTCAGAGTTACAGATATACACTGAGTATACGAAACATTAGCAACACCTTCCTAAAGTCAAGACAATGATCCAAAACACACAATCAAATTAGAAGTTTTGGAATGGCCTAGTCAAAGTACAGACCTAATCCCAATTGAGATGTTGTGGCAGGACTTGAAACGAGCAGTTCATGCTTGAAAACCCAAAAATGTTGCTGAGTTAAAGTAGTTCTGCATGCAAGAGTGTGCCAAAATTCCTCTACAGCGATGTGAGAGACTGATCAACAACTACAGGAAGCATTTGGTTGCAGTCGTTGCAGCTAAAGGTGGCACAACCAGTTACTGAGTGTAAGGGCGCAATTACGTCGGGGCATGGACTCTACAAGGTATCGAAAGCTTTCCACAG